ATATATAGCGTTTACTTGGGCACCAATTTTGCAGTAATACAAGTTTGGTTAAAGGTTAACGAAAGTTCATTTTTAACTTATCTTAATTTATTATTCCATATTTATGGTCCTTTTCTTGATTTCAGGAACATATTTAAATATACACTGTCCAATGTCTGTACTTTAGTCTTTCATAACCCATTATTGAAGAGTTACTTTGTTTTTTTTGTAATGTCAGTATTAACATTTAATTATTGCGTCTTAATCTATCATATCGCCTTTTCACGTGACAGTTTGTATTGTTCGGATTTTTAAAATTTTATTATGAGAATAATTAGTATGTTTATTTTTAAATTTTGATAACATTTTATTAATGTTGGATCATTTGTTTTTATGCTTAATGCTTCTAGTGTTAATATTCATTTGTTTTTCTTTTTAGCATTATGTGATGCCATATTTTTGTGCTATTGGTAAAGACTGTCAGATTTGTTGCCGTGTTTATTTATTTTTTTTGTGTTGATTAGTGATATGCAGTTTAATTTTAAGTCCAAAATAAACAGACAAAATATACAACCAAACGGAGTAGTAATAGCAGTATTAAGAATGCTAAACAGCTCTACTGGAATCTGGTGGTGGGCTTTGATGAGGTTTAATTTTGTGAAAATTCATTTACCTTGTGCGATGTTGGAAAGCCGTTTATATGGTGAAGAGGGTACCTATCTGGTTTTGTGACAGAATTGAGAGAACTATCGTCATTACAAGTCCACCATGTGCCACTGCCTTTGAGGGGAAAAAGATGCAATGAAGAAGCATATTTGCTATAATGTTAAACTCCATCGTTTGGATAAATTCATGTGCTAATGTATCATACTTTATATACTGTACACCCATCTTCGTTTACAATTGTAAGGGCCGCCACATGGTCACTTTGAGAACTAATACAACTCATTTTGCTAAGCCCGCAAATTTTGAAATACATTGCTGACAATTTAGAAGGTTCCCCGCAACAGTTTTTTTTTTTTTTTATTTTGCCTGTTGTATCTGAAGTCCATGGTGGGTGAAGGGGGGGGGGGTGTATGGTCTAGATGAGAAGTTTGTACATAGAATGATTGCTGTAAGGCATTTGTTACCAAATGCATGAAATACCTAGTGTTGTACAATTGTAGATAAGATACCAGATGAAGTAGTCTGATATACATGTAGCAATTTAGGGCCCATATAAACAGACAACAGGACACTGACTGACTCTTTCTCTCTAACCAGACAATGAAGCTCCCATGTTGCATCTCAATTCTTGTTCATGTTGGTGCATGCCAAAAATTGGCAAGACCCCATTGCAAACTAGCAAGGACATGAAAGGTTAAAATAAATACCAGAGAGAGAAATGAAAATTTGAACCTGGTTTCAACAAAAACAATGTCAAAAGGACAGTTTTTCCCTTAACACCGCTATTATTTTAACTACCTTCACTCCTCAGCAATGTTTATCATTTTAAAAAAGCAATGATTAGAATTCTCATAAAACCTAAAACATATTAAAGTAAATTCATACATTTTCTGTTTTTGAGAATTAACAATAAAAATAATAAACATTTATTAGATTGTTTATTAGAATAGTTAGCAAAACATCTGCTAATTACTAATCAATTTGAACTTTATAAAATGGTAAATAAAGATTTCCTTATAGTTGATGGCCATAATTTAGTAAATGTCTATAAATTCATGAATAAAAAAAAATTATTTTCATATTTATTTCTTTATAAATTGATAAATATTGCATTAGTTTTTATATTATAAATATAAAAATTATTCTTGTAAATAAAAAAATCTAATAAATAAATCATATTTAATATTTTTGTTGTAAATTCAAGAACAAAAAAAAAAAAAATGTACAAATTTATTTTCATCATGTTTAGGTTTTATTCCAATTGTAATCATCACTTTTTAAAACAATAACCATTGCTGAGGAGTGAAGGGAGTTAAAATAATAGTTGTGTCAATGGAAAGACTGTCCCTTTGATACCCACCACCATTTTCTTTTTGCAAATATAAAAGAAAGTCATACAAGGTCTGATCAAAAAATATGAAGACTGTTGCTATGGTAACAGAGCTAAAGTACACATAGTGAAGCTCCTTGGCAAAGATTGACCTTTTGAACTCTGTTGCACATGCACAGCAAGTTATAACAATCTTGCTCCTTTCTATTGGTTATAGGAATGCCTGAAAAGAAAGTGTGTAGAGTGTGGTCGTCACATCACACCACAGAGATTCCATCAGTGACCATGGCTTGTGCAGCAGTTTTTGGCCAAGTACGACATACCCCAGGTTCACCAACCATCATACTCCCTCGATCTTGCCCCTTATGACTTTCTTCTTTTCAAAAACCAAATCCACTTGAAAGGAACTAGATTATAAGATTTCAAAGAAAGAGAATGCGGTGAGGCTATCCCAGAAAAGGAGTTCCAGGGATGCTTCCCTCAATGGAAACAACACTTGATAAAGTGTGCGGATTCAGAAAGAGGACTACTTTAAAGGAAATTAAATGTTAAATTGATAGATGTTGTAGTTTTCTTTTTAAAGAACTAGTCCTGATACTTATTGATCAAACCTCATATGATGGACATCAAGAAAACAGACTGAAAAAAACAGTCAAAATTATAATATATTCATATTTTTTATAGAAAGAGTAAAAGATATAGAAAAGAGAGGATGCAGTCTTTCCATATATGAAACTAATCAATGTTTATATAATATTTAGAGAACATGAATGAGCAAAGAAGATTGAAATGGATAAGGGAAAAAATGAGAAGATACATGCAATGAGTGAAAGGGCTAAGGTAGGAGTTATTGGATATAATTTTAGTTGTCAGCACCTGTAAAATTTCTTATATAATTTAAATAACAAACGAGCAAAAATGATCAAAACAGATGAGGGAGAGAACAAAAAGATATGCAGTGAGTAAGATACTGGATATAATTTGTTTGTTTGTTTTTTTTGGGGGGGGAGTTCAATCAGTGTAGGAATAATTGCAAAAATCCCCCCTTCTCTTTTATAGGCAAAATTTTACAAAATGCATGCTGGGATACTTTTCTTAGTCAATAAGATAGGTTGATTTACAATTTAACTGTCTATATGAAAGAACATTAGGTTCACTTGTCTGACCTAGCTTTTCAGCATAGACGTTAATTCATAGTTCATAAACCTTTTTGCTTTCTTACCTGTGAATTTACTTATGTTGTTTGCTTGCCTGCCTGATACCATTTAATTTTTGACCCTCTTTCTATTGTAAATATAATTCTGTTCATTGGACAGTTGTCTTATTTATTTTGCATTTGGAGCATGACTTCTATCTTAACATATGATATTAGGAGCTGCTACAAACTCTCCAGCTATGGAATCTCTGGAAGGGCTCTCTCAATTATCAAACGCTTCCTAAATGGTAGGTCCCTGAAGGTTGTTAACTGTCAGTTATCAGAAACCCATAATTAATGCCAGCATTACAAAGGGTCCTCGCCTTGGACCTATCCTCTTTTTATTGTATATTAAAGATCTGTCCAAGAGAATATTCTGACCCTTAATATCGATGCAGATAATACAACAGTTTATAGATGTACCTCCGAAGACCTAGATCAGAGCCTAACGACTAACAGCCAGGGTGGCTAAATGGGGAAAGGAGTGGCTTGTAAAATATGGCCAAAACCAAACTATTAACTTCTACCATCACCAAGACCCAGAAATTTCACCTATCTTGACCAGTGGGTCTTCTCAAGGAGACTTTTTACCTTGAACAATTATTTGGGCTTAAGCTCACTCTAGACCACAAGTGAAACATATATACAGTTTATTGTGAGAGACACAGTAAAAAGATGTTCAGTTCATTGTACTGATCAAGTAAGTATCTGACTCCCCCTGTTCTATTCTATCTTTACAAGAGCCAGATCAAACAAAAACTGAAGTATTGCTGTCATATCTGTGCTGGAGATGCCCAGTCTTCACTTGGTAGAATTTAAAACTGTCTACACTGCCTTGCTTTCATCCTACAACCCCCTTTCCTATAGATTAAATGTTGTGAGCCTCTCCCTGCTCTACTGCTGTTTCCATGGTAAGTGTTCTGACAAGCTACATTCCTTAGTCTCACCATCCCTGATCTTTACAACTCGGACCCACAATGTCATGTACTCAGGGATGAATTCATTTTTATTTTTATTAGTAAGAAATTCCACTCAGACAGCTTCTTCCCAATAACTGCTGAACAGACACCTAGTAGGATATTTTCCCAATTATTACAATCTTGATTTCTTCATGACTAGGGTTAACCATTATCTTCCTTGCATATCCCCATGAATTCCAATTTTTTTTCTTACATTCATACAACTCCATACAGTAATCTGCTACTTTTAGTGGCTCTTGAGCCTTGCATTGGGAGAACATTAGTATTAAAAAAAAATTTTAGTTGCCAAAACCTGTAGAATTTTCACAGGTTGGATCTAGCTTTGTATAGGCATACAAAAGTTATACAATTTCAAACACGGACAATTGCTTATTTATTTGCTTTCATTCAAAATTTACCAAATGTAGCTTAAAAAAAAATTCTTCAAACTTGACTGGCAGAAACAAAAACTGTAGATTTCATTTTTTGACCAGAGATCAGCTGTGCAAGCAGAGAAAAACATCTACTTGTCAATGCCATTTGTCAATAACGGTCACTCTTCCATCTTTGGTTTCTTGATCGAAATGGCCTACTGGAGTAGTTATCATAAAATGTATTCCTTTGGTATTTGTAATTTGAACCACCATGAGAGTAATAGTGATCTGCTGAATGTTCATAGTAAGAATCATATTGATGGTGTTGGTGTTGGTAATAAGGTTGGTAGCGGGAAGAGTAGTCTCTCATGGAAAATGAAGGATTTTCATATCTATAAGAGTTAGGAGGATTAGAAAATCTTCGATGATCCTGATATCGATATCTATTATTGAAATTCTGATTTTGAGATGGACGTTCATTTCGATTGTAGACTGACCACCGTTGATGGGGGTATTGCTGTACCATTTCTTTTTCTGGCCGACTTGTATATACACGGTTAGATGGAATTTCAATGGTTTCACTGAAACAGAACAAAGAAATTAAATGTAAAAATAAATAAAAGCCAAGAAACAACTTTGACACCTTCAAGATCAAAAGTCATGTCTTTCAGAGAAACTTCTGTTGCAAATGTGGAAATATCACTATCATGGTCCTGTGTACAATTTGTAAAAATACTTACCTACAATTAATATCAGTCATATACAAACAGACAAAATAAAACCTGTGAAAGAAAATTCAATATAATGACTCACAGAAAAAAAAAAAAAAAAAAAAAAATCAGCATACCATAATGAAAAGACAGACATTATTTGATTAGAGAAGCTTTTAATTGCTTATATGAATAATATATATTAAAGACAATATTATCTGAAGAAAAAAATTTTTTTTTCTGATTTAAGATATAAAGGGTGAGATGGATAAATGATGCAAAAAAAAAAAAAACCCAACATCTCATTTTAACAGATATATTTACCAAAATTACACAAAAATATCTTGAAATACTAAAACGTACTTCCAGACGACTTCAGAATTTCCTGTAACTCTTCTGGATGTTCTCCGTGTTTAAGTCGGTGAATGCTGTCATAATCCTTGCCTTCAGCTCATCTTTGCTGCTACAAGTAGTTTTGTTTGTGCCCCACACATAATAATCAAGGGAGTTTAGTCTGGGGAGTTATGCGACTAGATGTAAAGCATACCAGTTCCAAATTACTGGTAAGTCAAATTGCGTCATGGTGCTCTTTTCTCACAGACACTACCTGGCTACTATATTGTGCAGTTGACAAAATCAAAAAGAAACAAAAAGAAAGAACACACAAGCACAAACTTAAAAATATGAAATGGCGACAATTTATCCATCGCACCCCATAACTTCAGTAATAGAATAGCATGTGTGACAGTGAGGGTGTAACAAGTCTTACTGTGGCCATTATAAGTTTTAGCCAGTGTTCTCACCTTTTTCTTTCTTTCTACAATACTGTATGGTAACAGATCCCTCAACACTGCATAAGAGATATTCAAGGGGTGCTATCTTTAATGCAGTAGAAAATTTATGAGACAATGTGATATTTCTTTCCATTAGCAACATTAAAACAAAATACTTTTTTTCTTTTAAATATTCTGACAAGAGATCCGCAGTAACAAGCATCACTAATCCACGTTTCTTTCTCTCCTCCGTCTTTGATTTCTTGATGGAGATTGCCTGCTGGAATAACCACAATAAGACTTTGAGATTTGTAATTGGAAAAGCAACAAGAGTAAAAAACATCTACCAAGTGATTTTTACTGAATCTCATACTGATAGCCTTGCAACTGATCTGGAGATTGATAAGAATGTTGATAGCAAGGAGAGGGGGATATCTATTATTCATGTTTGATGAGTCTTTTTGTCTTGTTTCTCTTGCTTTTCCACCAAGTAGTAATAGTCTTAAGTTGTCTGAATTTGTTAGATGAGGCCTTGTCACTTATTTATTTTTGACTAGTATTTCTTTCATCTTATTTCTCTTGCTTTTCCACCAAGTAGTAATAGTCTTAAGTTGTCTGAATTTCTTAGATGAAGCCTTGGCAATTATTATTCATTTTTGACTAGTATTTCTTTCATCTTATTTTTTTGCTTTTGATTCCAATACTGTTCTTGCTTGGGATACATTTTAGAAATAACAAATATTTGTATGCAAGATCCAAAATATATTTAGCAAAAAAAAAAATAAATAAATAAATAAATGGCAGGTACTTATAATATCATTAGATCTGGAAAAAATAAATTAATCTTAGTAATCAGTAAATTCACAAAAAATATTGTTTTGATGTATCTTAGCAATGTGTATGTTAGGACATACATGAAACAACTGAATTCCTATGAACAAAAATTTTTATCTTTTTTATATTTAATGTTAGTAAAAGTCTCAATGCATATAATAATAAGCATAATAATATTAAAGTAAGAGAAAGAAATCTTAAATCATATAATAATAATGATAAGCATAATAAAGTAAGGAAAGAAATCTCAATTCATATAATAATGATAAGCATACCTGTGTGTCAATCTGTCAATTTGCTTACATGTGTGTATGGCTGTGAAATTAGTATCTTATTGATAATTTGTAGATTTGTTTCTATGTATTAATATCATTCTATTTATGTCTATGATAAATCAATACCAATCTATTTTTTTTATAACTCCTCCTGAATTTAAACCAAATATATTTCCAGATAAATACAGTATTTTAAATGGACAAACAATTTACAGTTGAAATTTAACCATTTTTGCCATCAGCAAAGTGAACAAAATGTAAAACTTACCTTTTCAAACTGCTTATATAATTTTTTCTTTCTATTTTATGACCCCGTGCTGCATTGAATTCTAAAAATACAAAGAAAATTCAAAAGGTTTAACTTAGATTTCAGAGCACCTATTGAAGATTACACATTATATTAATAAATTAACTTACTAATACATTCACCAGGCATCCAAGTATGTTACAATATGGAAAACTTAATATGAAATTTTCTCTATCCACCACAAACAAATTATATACGAGTGGACATTGAGGTTAACACTCAGCGGTGAGTGTTTCAAGACTAAACACAACTATGGCCAGATGATTGCGTTTAAGCATGATACAGACTGTTGTTACTGGATGTTGACCTCAATGCACACTTTTATGTTTACATATGCTCTGTCATTGATATTAAGCACTTTAACCATAAATATATAACTATATTTCATCATATATCTCAAACATGTTTTGTTAAATAATATGGACAAGTTCTGTCTATCAATGTTTTTAATTAAATCTTTCAAATTCCCAAATAAGTTGTTTTATTAGTAAATTTGCCAAAATTCAAATTAACTTTTATTTTATACTATTTTTTTTTTCTTCCCAAGTATTTCTGAATGATATTCCATTTGTTTACAAGGATTGTTTGTGTAGTTAACTAATTACAATTTAATTACAACATTCTCAACTTTGATGGAATCAATTTCAACCCATTCAATGTGACGCCATATAAACAGTCAAACTTATCCCCCCCCACTTTAAAAAAAACAAAAAACCCCAAAAACACACACTTCAATATACAGTCCTCTATGAGCGCCCAATGCAAAAGTTCAATTTTCAATTGAACAACTACCCATGCAGATGATTTGATTATAATGGTGATGGTTTGTGTAGAACTGGACACACTTTTCAGAAAAAAAAAAAAAAACCAAAACAATAACAGAACTGGTGCCCATTCTCCAACAGCCATCCTCAGGTTTTGAATTCAGAATTTTTCTTAGAGTTCTCTTGCCTGGAGTGGGAGCCTGTCTGCCATGCTATTTAGCCAGTAATTGCTGGGTGATAAATTCATACCTTTTCCAAGGGCAGTAATGAACAAAACAGAATTGACTGGAATTTGAACTCTGCTCAATGATTTCACTTTCCACCCTGATAACTACTCTGTGTGTATGTGTCACAAATAAAATTAAAAGTTCAACTTATCCTACTTGGAGTTTCACAGATATGGTATCCATTCTACCAGGGGTCTTGATAGTAAAACTGAGTTTATTTAGAGAAAACTGTATTATCTGTACTTAGATGGATTTTTAATAAAAGCCATCATTAACCTTGAAGACTTATCTTAATCTAAAATTGTGAAATATATTTCCCCTACCAGATTTGTCCTTTTACTGAATCCAGCAATAAATTCATTCATTATTAGAAGCCAAAAAACAGTTTTTGGCAGTTACCCAGTAGTTTTTATAACTCCTCCCACCTTTCTTTTTGATGGTTTGGTTTATGTTGTTTTATGGCATATCAATACCTCAATGGGTCATTTAATGCCAACAAGATTTTTAGGATAGTTTCTAATGAATAGAAGATGTATTCTTTGTATGAAATAAGTTTGTAGATCAGGTTTTACTGCCATATTTTTGTAAAGAGGTTTTTGTCGAAAGTCAAAAATGTATTGCTGGTATTTTTTACTATAAAAATCTATTTTTATACTTTATGAAAGTATAAAACTAGATTCTTATAGTAGAAAAAAAAAAAATACCAGCAATACATTTTTTGAGTTTTGAGCCCAGTTTGGGGGTTCACTACTTGCCCATAGCTGGGACCCTAATAGGTGCTACCATCCCAGATCAGGTTGGACATGGGAACAACAGATTAAGAGATGATTTCATGCTCCTCAAAACCTCCCGATCAGAGGCCTTGCTGCCAGATGTAGTTTCTCATCATACTCAGGACAAGATTGTTTTTTTCTTTTTGAAGTAGCAGTGTAATCTTATCCCATACATTTTTGTTGTAGTATAAAAGAAAATAATTGATAAATATGATATACAATGTTATAGCAGTCTCAATTTTTAAAAACCCTGGGTTTTGGGCAATTAGAGAGTTGGAATAGATTTTTTTTGCAAAATCATTTCATCCCAAACAAAAAAAAAGCTACTAAGATGCAAGAGGTTACCAAGAGTGAAATAAACTGAGAAAACGTTATTGAAATGAAAGGACAATAAAAGAATAGGATTCAAAATGACAGAAGATGGCAATTGACATTGCATTTAAATTTTTGAAGATTATAGTTGAAGATGCTGGAATGGAAGAAACTTATCTCATGGGGCAATAGTCAAGTGGATTGTGAGTTCAATCCTTAGGCCAGGCGGTGTGTACTTGGACTAAGTGGAAATGGAGGTAGCAATAACTCAGCAGTAATAAAATAAGAACTAAACGAGATATCCATAGACAGCAGAATGAGAACAGTCTATCCCTGTAGATTTAATGAAATGTTCAGTTCAAAATTCCTAGTAGCTAACTGGATCAGTACATACCTGATAAGGACTGGAGTGCACAACGACCAAAACATTGACAACAACAAAGATGAGGACAATAACCCACATGTAAATAATAATAAACTATTAAGCAAGAAGTACCAGAGAAGAAGCTATTAGCATAGAACTTACAGTTACATCTAGCAATTTTAACATTAAAATGTTGAGACCTAACTGCCAATCTAGTATATGTGAAGTCAAAATACCAAAAAGGAAAAGTTCATCTGAACAGTTACCATAAACATATTTATAGAAAAAGGCACAGGGAAGCTAAGTTACAGCAGGTGGAAAGTGATTAAAGAAGAGATGCCAAGTCAAGACTGATAACATTGCAGATGTTTCTTTGGATTTTGTCACGAATCTCAGGATACATAGAAATACTAATCCAGATGTGGGAACAATATTTAATGCAAGTACAAATATTAGAAAGATGCAAGACTGTATTATCTATATTAATATGGGCTAATGATTTCTAAGCAATTTTTAATTAACTTTAAATTGACAAAGAAAAAGTTGACTTGAGATAACTCCTGGTCTATTAACTGCTAATTACAGAGTTATTTAATTTGACTTATCTGCTTTCTGTCAGCCATAATGTCAATACCTACTTTAATATTTATGAATAATAACTTTAGTTATAATTCAGTTATGTGCCACGTGTGATATGCACTTAGGTAATCATGTATCTTTTGATACATGACTGATGAGGCAAATTTTTCCTGCAGTAGACCAGTTGCCATCCAAGACTATAGAACCCAGTCTATCCTGCTATTTACCCATAGCTGGGGGAAGAAGAAGAGGATTCATAATTAATCTTTGCTAATAATTTTACAATTCTATGAATAGAAAGTGACAGATACCAAAGTCAGTATTTAAGCAAAGATTAAACTCACAACAAATTATCAAAATTTGACATTTACTCACCTTCAATAGCTTTATGCGGATCAAAATTTAATTTATCAATCATGTACCTGAAAAATATGAAAAAATGGATTATTTTTCTTTTCATGTGCCATGTCCTGAAAGGACATTGACAATCATGGCTCTCCACCTCCCTCTATTCCTTTCATCTCTCAGCAAGCTCCTTCACTTTGCCACCTCCCCCAGACTATGTTCTGTCATCCACTTGCTTAAGGCTGCTATTTATGTCATTCATTGCTTTCCCTAATTCGTCTTTACCTCTGTTCCATCCATAAGTATCAGATTCTCCAGGACTTCCTTCCTCATTACATTCCCAGAAACTTCAGCTGCCTCTTCCTGATGTTAAGTATAAGCCTCCTCCTTGTTTGCAACCACGCTAAGATTTCATCGTTGCTCACACACTTGGTCCATGATATCCTTAGCATCCTTCTGTAGAACCACATCTCCATCACCTTGAGTCGTCTTCATCTTTGAGGAAATCATCCAACATTCGCTGCCATAAAGAGGAATGGATGTCACGTAACAGCTCAGTATTCTTTTCTTTGTTATCAAAGAAATCCTGTTGTCTTGCAATACTATGCCCAGCATTTGAAATGTGTCCTTGGCCATCCCAGATTAGTTACCATTACAAAATTATGGTATTTATTGTAGTAATCAAAATTAATGATGGCATTTATTGTAGTACTCAAAAAAAGCAATTTAAATATTGTCATGCTTCTGAGATGTAGAAAGATTTCTTTTATAATATCATTCAAGTATTAAAAAAATTATTCATACACAAGTGTCAGCATTATTAATTTTGACTAGTATAGGGTGCTCCAATAACTTGGACTGATTTTAAATGTGAATTAAGTTTAAGAGTCTAATGATTTTTACTTTTAGATTTAACAACTTAAGTCTTTGGCAATTTCAACCATGGAATCAAACAACGTGTTAAAGTTATTGAAACCTATTATGTAAATGGATATTCAAACAGAAATGCATTTCACGCACTTCATGATATTTTTGGTCAACATAATTGACCAACTGAGAGTGCAATGGAAAAATGGTTTGTAAATTCAAACAAACTGAGTCGGTGGCAGATGTGAAACCACCATCGTGTGCTCGTTTACGCCATTCAGCTGAAAACATTACTGCAGTGCATAAGAATGTGACCGAAAATCCAGACACATCTATCTTCTATAAATACTTTCATTGTAAATGATCGGATGAGCTCTTCACTATATATATTGTTGTTTTTATTTCCCACCCCCCAGAAACAATGATTTGTACATATGGGGACTAGTTAAGATTTTCATAGAGACAATGAGGTATTAAGGTGGATGTAGTAAGAAACATAAGTAAGAATGCGTTGTTTTGGTGTTAGGTATTTTGTGGTATGTTTGGGTCAGTGTTTGTGGTTAGCTAAGTTTAAATTTAAGACAGAAGAAGACCATCCTTCTCCCACCCCCATTCGGCCTTGTGCCACATTTTCTAAATATCTACAAATAAATATCACTTTTCACTATGGTATCTAGACTCTTTGAATTTAAGCACAGTACTAGAATGGTGACGAAGTCTCACCCATTTACAGTTGAGTTGGCGCGATGTAACTGTAAATTCTATAACAGATTCTTTTCTTGCACTTCTCACTTATGGAAATTTCTTCTCCAGAAATTTCAACTGCCTTTTCTGAGGCATATAATGAGCAAGACTGGCACTAAGAAACTTATATCTATGAATAAAAACATAATTATAACCCCATCCAATAAAAAAGGCAGAATAGTTGTCATGGATACCAACAAATACATTGAAAAATTTTGAACCCTTTTAAATGATGATAATACACACACAAACACAAAAAATATACATACAGTAAATACAAACACAAAAATTCAACAAAACAGCCAAAAAACATTAAAAATGAAAAATCCTGGATTAGACTAGAATACTACCCTACAATACCCAAAACTATACAGCTACCCAAAACACACAAATCCTACATACCCATTGTGTCTGGCACCAACAGTACCCTCTACAAACTAGCTAAAGCAATAACAAATGCCCTAACCCAATTCTTAGAAACAATCAACACAAACACCCTGGTGATCTAATCCAGAGGATAAGAAACAAAAACATGGGAAACAAGAGTTATGGCAAGCCTGGTTATCAAATCATTTTACACAAAATGCCTCAACATATTAAGAAACCACCTCATATATTTAAGAGAGAGAGAAAATCTACTTACTTGCAAATGAAATATCCAGTTCTGTTAACTCCATGTGTGCAATGAACAACAATGGTGTCATCTGCAGAAGAAAGAAATTAATCAAATAAAGCAAAGTCAAAAATTACAGCTGGTGTCATGTAAGGGTTCAAATATACAAGGTAGCAATGAATGTGTTAAAAAAACACAGACTGAAGACTTTTTTTTTTTTTTTAAAGAAAAAACATTTTAAATATCCTAAAAATATTAGAGAAAGAAAAATTTTTCAGTGCTAGAACAAATATATTGGAAATCTCTTCCCCGTTGAAAGAGAACAACAAGCAATACACAGAAATACCGATGGACCTGAAATACTAAAATCCAAAGTGGAAGCTGTACTGACCAAATTGAATAGAAACAAAGCAACAGGGCCAGACAGAATTGTAATGGAGATGCTTACAGCTTTGGATGATTTTGGCATAAACAAGATTATGGAAATAATAAATGAAATCTACAAAAGTGAGAACATACTGGAAGATCTAAGTAGATCAATTTTCATAGCACTGCTTAAGAAACCAGGCACAAATGAATGTGAACTTCAATGAACAATCAGCCTAATGAGCCACATACCAAAACTCATCCTCCAAATTCTGATGAATAGGACGTGCAGCAGAATGAGGCCAGATATAGAACAAGAACAGTGCAGGTTTGTTAAAGACACCGGAATAAGGAACGCAATATTTATGCACAGAATGTGATCAGAAAGAGCAGTACAAATGCAGAAGAACTTATACCTGTGTTTTATAGACTATGCAAAGGTGTTTAACAAAGTACGCCACAAAGATCTGTTAGAGTTGCTCAGCAACAATGACATTCAGGAAAGACATCAGAATAATAATAAAAAAAAAATAAAAAAAAATCTCTCCTGGCAGAAAATCATCTGCGTATGAATAAAAAATAAGTTCAGCAGATATACAAAAATAGAAAGGAGCATATGGCAAGCATGTATCTTCACAACAGACTTATTCAACCTATACAGTGAGGCAATTCTGAGAGAACTGGAAATGCTACCAGGATTCATCACTGGTGGCCACAATCTTAACAACATAAGATAAGCAGATGACACAGTGCTGATAGCAGACACAGAAAGGAAACTATAAAAGCACATACAAAAGGTAGTGAGGGAAAGTGAGAAGAAAGAGACTCTGCATAAACTACAAGACAAAATGCATGGTCATCAGACCAAAATGTAACTTACAATTTGAGAACACTAAAATCAAGCAGGTACAGAAATTTAAATATCTGGGAAGTGTTCTGACAGAGGACAGAAAGTGTGACATTGATATCTAAAAGATGTATTGGGATGGCAAAAGATGCATTCCAAAAGTTAAGCAGAGTATTATGAGACAGGAAAGTTTCATTGGAAACAAAGAAAAGAGTACTGAACTGTTACACAAGGACGCCAAGGATACCATGGGCTGAACATGTGAGCAACGACAAGGTTTTGGAGCAAATGAAAACAAAGAGGAATCTTATACTTAACATCAAGAAGAGGTAGCTGAAATTTCTGGGACACATAATGAGGAAGGAGGGCTTGGAAAATCTGATACTCACAGGATGGATAGAGGGTAAATAGGACAGAGGAAAACAATGCATAATATACTTAATGTGCTTGAGCAAGTGGATGGCAGAACAGGGTCTGAGAGAAATAACAAAACTTATTAAGAGCTACAAGGGACAGGAGGAGGTGGAGGGCCATGATCATCTACATCCTAAAGGGACATGGCATATAAAAGAAGAATAATAAACTTTTACTAAACAATTTTAGTATGCTTTTGAATATTTCCTATACAGGTGGGCAGTGGAAAATTTTTCCATGTGAAAGTGGCCATTGATGCAAAAAAGGTTGGGAACCCCTTCTATTTTGTGTCAATGAAGCATTTATCAAAAAGGCATGGGCATTTCTTTTAATCATTTCAACCCAAGAAAGGTGATGAAGCTACTAAGATGCAAAGGGTTAATAAGAGTGAAAGAAACCAGGAAAACATTAATGAGGAGAAAGCATTCAAGGAGACAAATGACAATTGACATTGCATTTAAATTTTTTGAAGATTGTAGTTGACAGGAAAGCAAAAGGGGGAAGAGAAATCCACATGCAAGAATTGTGAGAGAAGAAACTATGAGAAGAAAAATTTCATCTGTAAAATGATGAGACCTAACTGCCAGCCTAGTACAGTGCTTAAAATCATAAATTCTAGGTACCAAAAACGAAAGCTCTTCAGAAAAACTGAAAATATTTATAGGAAAGGTGCAGGAAAGAAGTAGGAAAGTTATTGAAGGTGAGATAGTAAGTTAGGACCTCAACATTGCAAATTCTTCTTTAGATTTTGTCAAGAACTTCTACATACATACATAGAAGCACAAGACCAGATGTAGCAACAATATTCAATGCATGGACAAATAGCAAACATATAAAAGGTGCAAGACAGGTTCAGGTGACAAAGATTGTCTAGCATGACACAGTGAACCAACATCCTTGGCAGCAGGCTTAGCAAATGATTTCATATCATTGTCCCAGTTCATGTTAGTAGAAAATGTGATACCAAGAATGCACAATGAGTTACTCTTGTAGAGGTTAGCATCAGCCATGCTGATGGAAGACAAAAAAGATACTCTAAGATGATTAAAAAAGAGCAGTTTAGTTTTAGAGGTGTTAAAATTAACAAGCCATTTCTTGCTGCAGTTAACAACAGATTGAAGGTCATTTTCAATATCAGCTGCTAATTTGACCTTAAAGAACGTATCACATTTACACTTAAGACAAGAGTAAATAGTTGTGCCATCAGCATAGATACTGAATTGAGAACTGATGACATTGGGAAAGTCATGGATAAAAGTTAGAACACTACATTAATGCAAAAATAATCTGAAAGAGTGGCTGCTCAAGACAACTTTCATGTTGTGATTTGATAAGAAACATTGAATCAAATCAAGAATTTGTCTAGAAATACAATAACATTTTAACTTGTGAAGAAGATTAGCATGCCAAATCCTGTCAAACATCTTCAAGATATCCCTAGCCTAGACTTCACCATTCTTATCTAATGCCCAATAAATTCTTTCAGCAATAACAGTTAACACATCAGAAAAGTGAAAGCCATAATGCTTGTCTGAAAGAGGACCCTAAGAGGTGAGATGCTTAATGTTATACCATATCTATGGACTATAATGGGTACGTCCCAATTGTTATAAATACAGTGGGTACTGTATGTTGATTCACTGTGGGATTTCACTTGCAATTCACCTTGATTCACTTCTAGCTCACCACTAGCAATTGATTACTTACTTTTATTCAGTGACCTTTTCCTAGGTTACAACATTTTTGCAATGAGGGTGAGATTCAAACTCACGCAAGGAAACCCCCAACAGGGAATCAACATACAGTATATTCCACTGTATTTATAACGATTGGGACATACCCATTATAGTTCATAGGTACAGTGTAACACTTAACCAAATGAGAGTTAATTAGTTCCTCTAGTACTTTACCAAAAAAGAGGAAGAAGGCTGATAGAATTATCAGACTGTGTCTCAAAAATGGTCATTATACCCACAGACTGAGAGGTACCAAATAATTTTTTTTTTTTTTTTAAATTTCAGTCTACATAGAAAAATGTCATTCATCCACCTGGCATTAGAAAAACATATGAAAATAGATGGAAAAGTTAATGTAATAAATTATCTTAGAATGGAGAAGGGAAAAAAAAAAAAAAAAAAAAAAAGATTAAAACCACACAATAAGTTGATTTGTGTGTTTATACACATACAGGGAGGTGATTATATATATAAAATTTTAAAGAAAAACAGACCACTTTAAGGTTCCATTATAATAATTTATTTCACCTTGACTTTTAAAGGACGCCGGATCATCAGATAGCACTCCCAAGAAATGAAACGAAAAATGAAATGAATCATTTCATTTTTTCGTGCTATCTGATGATCCGCGCCCTTTAAAAAGGGCTCTGGTGAAATAAATTATTATAATGGAACCTTAAAGTGGTCTGTTTTTCTTTAAAATTTTAACTCTGGATTTACATTGAGCTCTCAGGATTTCATCCTCCTTGGGACTACCCATACGGATTACCAAGTTTTTCATAACTATATATATATATATATATATATATATATATATATACACACACCCACACACACAGCAAAGATAAAAAATTTGACACCCAAGAATAAGGCATTTTGTGATTTTCTTCTTTTTCAATAAAATAACGGTGCAAAAAAATAATTTTTGCTTCACTTTTTAAAAAAGAAGAAAAATCTATTCTCCTTATAATCTTCTCCTCCTACTACCTCCACTAATATTCACATCACACACCTCATTCAGTAACCCTCTACTTTCAGTGGCTCTCAAACCTTGGGAATACCAGGTGCTGTAAGTCTGGATGTATGGGTGGTGCAATGGATTGGAATTGAAGAGCAGAGTTCCAATTCCACTTTGTGTTCATGATGTTCTCAAAAGATATGAATCTATCTCTTCTCCTAGCTATGGGTTAATTTAGAAAATGTATTAGTAAAAATTTTACAATCTAAAAATATTTTCTGGCTTTAAATAACAAGCAAAAGGTTGATAAACTGTAAAGAACAAATCAATTGATCAAACTCTGTGACCATGTAGAGATATAAATCATCATATTGTTTGTGTGTGTGTGTGTGTGTGTGTGTGTGTGTGTGTGTGTGTGTGTGTGACACCTGAAGCTTAAGAGTGGGAGAAGTCATGAATATATTTATTTATACAAGAATCTCAACCTATAATAAAAACTAAAATCTGTCCCAGTTTGTTGTCTGTTTTTGTGACATATATGACTATATGGAATATTTAATGCTAAAATATAAATATGAAAATTCAAACTTTCAAGAGAATAATAATATTTCAGAATTAAATTTTAATTACTTGGCAGCATTTTTTTTAACCAAATAATCTTACAGAATCAAACAAAGAGTGAAAACTTGTTTCTCCTGACAAGGAATAAGCTTATTCATAGCAATTTGTTTTTTTTTTTGTTTTATTTTTAACCTATGCAATGTCTTCAATTTTACTATAAAATATACAGATGGTCATTTTTGTCTATGAAAAGGTCTTGGTGGTAATTTGTCTATGAAAAGGTCTTGGTGGTAATTTGTCTATGAAAAGGTCTTGGTGGTAATTTGTCTATCAAAAGGTCTTGGTGGTAATTTGTCTATCAAAAGGTCTTGGTGGTAATTTGTCTATCAAAAGGTCTTGGTGGTAATTTGTCTATCAAAAGGTCTTGGTGGTAATTTGTCTATCAAAAGGTCTTGGTGGTAATTTGTCTATCAAAAGGTCTTGGTGGTAATTTGTCTATCAAAAGGTCTTGGTGGTAATTTGTCTATCAAAAGGTCTTGGTGGTAATTTGTCTATCAAAAGGTCTTGGTGGTAATTTGTCTATCAAAAGGTCTTGGTGGTAATTTTTTTACTGGAATTCTCTTGCAACATGCTAACATTTATTGAAATACTCACAGTATTTAGTATTACTGATTGTTTCTAAAATAGTGAGTGTATTTTTTATGTTAAATAAAACTTAATTTTTCCAAAAAAAAATTAATGAAAATTTATTGTACTAAGCTATGCATCCTAGTAAAACCCTCTGTACATTGTACCCCTTTACCTGTTTGCACTTCTCCCCAAAATTTGGTTTCGATTTGTCAATGTATGGTTATTTTAGAGGGTGTGATGAACAGATGAAAATCACAGAATTTTATAGATTGCTGGAATTTTTATACTTTTCTAGTGTTTTGATTCTTCTTTACTTATAGCTAGGACCCTAACAGATGCTACCATCCCAGGCTAGGGTGAACCTGGGAACAACAGCAACTAAGAGATGGTTCCACTCTACTGAAAACCCTGAGCAGAGACCTTGCTGCAGGATGTCCAAGATTGCAACCTAGAATTTATGGTAAGCTAATAAAATATAGAGTGTTATATAAACAGTGTTTGACAAACATTATTAAAACAGATTCCACTCTTCCACATACCTTTTCCCAAGTTTTTCATAAATGAATCAACAGTTTCAAAAAACCTGAAATTAAAATAAAAAAGATCTATCAAAAGGGAAAAAAAAAGAAAAGTTCATAAGCAATATTTAACAGAAAAGTACAATTTAACAAAGAAAATAGATCAAACATCAATTTCAGCTTATGCATAAATTCATTGGTTAACTTTAAAAACGGCTGTTATAGGGTATTTTCATTTTCAGACAAATTTTTTTTTTTTTAATATAGTAACTAAGAAACTGAGTTCCCTTAAAGTACCTAAGTGGTGGCTAACAGATGTACCAGATGTACGAGTTGACAACTGGACTAGTTTCAAGCTGAAAAGGGTATAAAAAAAGAATCAAGATTGATGTATAAACATGTCTGTAGCTGGTTTTTGAATGTTAGGTTTTAGATGTGTTTATTTGTCTGTGTCTGAAAAAGACATTTGGTAAAAATGCATATAAACGTCTATGCCGGGGAAGGGGGTTAAAGTGGGTTTAACAGCAATATCATGGGAAAATTGACCAAATCTTCTTGGCACTTCCCCTTCTGTGTAGAATATAGAATATTAACCTCATAATATTTTTATAATTTGTCATAACATGTTTATAATTAAAACAGAAAGATCATTTTGTTCACCTTTTTAAAAAGACAAAATTTTCAAGAGTATACATGATAGAGTAGGAAGAGTGCTTCACTGTAAATTGTGCAAAGCAGCTAGGATTTGGTTATGAAGCTGTATTAGCACAAACTGGAAGCTATCCGAGAGAACAGAAAACATCATGTGCTTTACAATTTTTAAATTCAAACGGATCACCTAATCCAGGTAATGAGAACTGATCTAGTCATTCTGAAGATATTGGATAATTTTAAGTAAATTGAACTTACTGCGAAACTCTATCTGGAGATGGAACTACATGTCCTCGTGTAAAAATCTTTACATGTGAAATGTTTTTAAATTCCTAAAAAAAAGAAAAATACATGAAAATTTCAGGTTCAAGGTCTTTTCTGTTGACCGAAATAGACAAATCCTAATCCTGCATTAGTCACATGGGATGTTTTGTTACACCAAAATTTTTAATGTATGTACTGCTAATTTCTAGTTAGCAACATGTTTCTTTTGCTCCCTCCCACTACTCTACTGATTCAGTGTGGGTGTGTAGCACATAGCATGGCACAGTTGTTGTAGGAGGCAGACACCAAGAGTCTATCCATTTTCAGAAATCTATCTTAGGTGACTAATGCAGGGTTAAGCATTTTAAATACAGATATTACTTATTTACATCAATATATATATATATATATATTATATATATATATTATATATTATATATATATTATATATAAAGAAATATAGTCTTAAGGTGTGCTATATTTATGGGATAAAGAGCTCAATATCAGAGATAGAGTGTGTGTGTGTAAATATAAAAGTCAACACTTAGAGGCGACAGACTGTGTCAGGCCTGATGATTGCATCTAGCATGAAACAGCCTGCTGTCTAAGTCTTGACTTCAATGTTCACTTTTATATTTACACACACTATCTCTGATATTGAGCTCTTTATCCCATAAATATAGCACACCTTAAGACTATATTTCTTCAAAAATATATATATAAAAACACATGCAAAACCTTTGCACTCCCCAATCATTTTTTGCAAAAAGAAAAAGAAAAAAAAAAAGCAGTTTTTTTTTTAATTTAATTACATTTCACTTTCATGCTCTTTAAAAAAAAAAAAAAAAAAAAAAAAACTCAGCGATTATTTTTTCAAATTTTGCTAAGCATTTCCTGTTAACTTAGAAAATTTATTACAGTGGCTTTTCTAAATGGGGCCCAGTTTTAGGGCATTTAATTCTGTAAGGGATTTAGAGAATTAATATTTCCAATACTTTTGCAGACAAATTTTTTTAATTATTTAAACAAAAAGAAAATAAATAAGGAATCCATCTTCCTTCAGCTCGTATGCTTTGAATATTTTTTGGTGGTTTTTGCTTTTTAAATGTACTTAGACTATTAGATTTAATTTATTTTTATGCTCTAATAAGAAATAAGCCAAAATAAATTTTCGAAATTAACAAATGAAATCTGACAGAAATGAGAGCGAGAGAATGAAATAATTGATCAGTTTAAATTTTGTTTTTTTTTCAAAACAAAGAAAAGTAAAAATGATGACAGCAACTGAATTTCAACAAATTGATTTTCTATGTGTAAGATAAAGGAAAAAAAAAAAATCCATTTTGGAGAAACTGAAAAAAAAAAAAAAAAAAAAAAAATGAATTGAAAGATAAATAAAACCTTTTATCATTGATGTAAGGAAAGACAACCAATACTAAAATTTAGTGGTAAATGAGATTCAATAAATACTGTCCCCATATGCATTTCGTTCATTCACTTTATCATCTTTCCTTGAAATTCCACTTCCCTACATTTCTCCTGACTACTCTGTCTAGAACTATGTCTTCTTTCAACTTCAATCTCTTGAGGTCATTGCTGACACTATCTCTCCAGGTTTTATTCAAATGTCTTTACCACAATTTCATATACTAAATACCACAACAACTATTATAGCACAGGTAGTTTTTATTTTTTTCTTACTACCTCTGTCCCTACAATTTCTATAAACTAAATGTAACAAGACAGAGTAAAGATTTTAGTATTATAGAAAACAAATGAACACATTAATTGAAACCAACCAAAGACACTGATACTTACCTTTTTGTTATAATATCTTGTTGTGTAAGTAAGGTCAATAACCAAGACAAGATTTTTCCCAAGACCTTTCACTGATTCAATCAGATCTTCAGGTGTAAACCTAAAACATAATTATTCATCTACAGAGTTTATAAATGCAATGAATATGTGTACATGCATGTGGATGGGTGGGGGTGAAATAGCGTTTTACATTTTTTTTTTCATGCATTTAAATCCCAAATACAACAAGCAAGTCACTAATAAAAATAAAACTATTTAAATCTAAAAAAGATACAAACATGTACAGAATATTTAGTACCACAAGATCAATTTCACATTAATATTCATAAATCTAATTTATACATCAATACATTAAAACAACAGTCAATAAAAAGGGAAACCCAGATAGGGTAAAAAAAGTGAAATTTCACAGGAGGGGAGTAGGTAACTAGATTTTGACTGAACAAATCAAGTTTGAAGTGTATATCTGCCAGGAAACCAATCTGGATCTTTTTTTTATAATAATAATAATAGCATCCAGATAAAATTGAGTTATTGTTTTTTTTTAAATTCTCCCTTTTATCTTTTCATAGTTGTTGCTTTGCATGATTTGCTTGTTTTCCTAACTGTATTATTTTGAAGAAAGTGTTTCTGTAGAAAATCAAAACAATGTTATAATGTTGAAGTTGTGGGGAAACATCTAACCGATTACTCTCCCAGCACCAGAGAGGGAAAAAAAGACAGGAGGTAATCACAGCAACTTTAGGAACAAAATGCCCACAGGACAGAATTCACGAGACGTTGTGCCTTACCAACTGATGGTTTTCCTGTTGCATTTATTGACATGAGGCATCTTACAAAGATCTTGAATACAGGTCTTTGTAAAATGCCTTGCAGAGAGGCCTGTATCTAGACATGCTAAGCTGTCCTGCACTTATCAGGGGAAATCCAGATGTAACTGTTGATAAACATGCCTGTACAAGAACCAGAGCCTCTTTTGCATCTGTACTGCTGCATGTTCACTACACAATATTATTCAGAGTTTATAAGCTGCAAGTCACCATGTTTTAATGTCCACACTGTTTATATCTACATATGTTTTTGATATTGAGAACTGTTTCTCCAAAAATGAAGTACAATTTAAACAAAAAAAAAAAAAAAAAATCCTCTACCAAGTATTGCAAGAAATAGGACACAAGCCTTCCTAAAACAGAAATTATAATCTGGAATTGGTATGAAAGCAGTGATGACACTTATCAAGAATCAATCATAAAAACCCTGGATGTAAAATTAGTATTAATAGAAATAGATAGGCTCACAGTCCTCCCTCAACTTTTGAACTGGCGTAGAGGTTTAGCCTTTGCTCCCTGTTTAGAATTGGGTTTCTGATTCCTTCTAAAGTAGTTTCATTCTCATTCACTCCCAGTAGCCCTTTGCATCTTAGTGGCATTATCATCTTGCTTAGAGTGAATTGATTAAAATACACACACCTACCTACCTATGTCTGCCTTTTAGGCTTGAGTGCAAATTAGTAGATAAGCCTGCCCATCATCTGTTCCACATTCCTCACTGATTTTTTTGAATAACAGTAGAAGCTTATCTCTTGTTCTTTGTTTACAATTTGGTTTCTGGTTCCTTCCAAAGAACATTTCTTTCTCTTTTACTCTCAGTAGCTGCATGCATCTTAGTGGCATTATCATCTTTGAGTGAATTGATTAAAAAAAAAAAAAAAAAGATTAAAAACTCCAAATACCTCTGTGTATAGATCAGATATGAGAAATTTAGTATAAAAGATAAAGGAAATTAGACATGGAAGATGCAGCACCAGCGGTAGTTTTGCCCAATACTACAAGTTGTTGCAAAACCAAAACATTAACATAAAAACAAGAGTCATGTTCTTAAATAACTTTATCAGGCATTATATATATATATACACACACATACATATATCATCAACTATATACAACCGCTTTCTCAGATCCATGGTTAAAAATGGGTTGGAGCAAATGAAGCATGTGTGATGGCCACATTTGAACTTTTTGGATTGGCGCTACTTAATCACAAACAAAGAATTGTTCCAAACAACAGAAACCACCACACTTCAAATCAAAAGTTAGGAAGGAACCCCCTATCAATAGTAGAAAAAGTGATAACAGTGGACTTGAAAAACCTATTTTCCTGAAAAATTGTTTTTAAAAGAAAGATTTTATAAATTCCAGCCAAAAGTAGTACTGGGCTACTCATTCAATGAATGCCAAATGTTTTCTTATAAAGAAACTGCTATATATATATATATATATATATATATATATATATATATATTATTTGATAATCCATATAGCTAATTCTAAAGCGGATATAAATCCAAAGAGAGCTCACTGTAAGGTCTCTACCTTCAGAATTGTGTGTGTGTGTGTATAAAAACAGTAAAACCTCAAATTAACAGCCCCAGAACCAATGGACAAAATCCAGAGAAATGAGAGTATCCGGCTGGAACTCAAAACACCACAAGCAAAGTCCATTAGTTCCAGAATTGGCCGCTGTTGTTTACTGGTGCAACCAACAGACAGTGACTGGAAATTCTGGGGATAACTGCTATTGTTTACTTGACCACGCATCACATGCATCATCTCTTGAACATTTTATACTGATTTTGGTACAGTATACAATAATGTTTTTTGTCAATCCTTTCACTATGGCATCCAATCATAACGGAGGTGAGAAAAGGAAACACACTAACCTTAGTATTGGTGACAAATCAGAACTTAAGAAAATTATTTTCAAACTTTATTTAAAGGTAAATTTAAAATGTAACATACACAGCGTGAGTGTACAATTTATTTTAAGTTATTATATAGTAATTTAAAAATAAAATACACATACATACATACATATTGTATTTACATTTATTTCCAATAATTTTGTACTGTACTGTGTGCTCTTAGGCCACGAAAAATGTGCTTCAAATTAACATACCAACGGCTTTAATAGACGACCCTCAACCCCTATTAGTCCATCAAATTGAGGTTCAACTATATATTATTTTTTTTTTCTTTAAAACAGATTTCATTGAATAATATAGACATATTGTGTCTACTTATTTTAATACAGATCCTTTCTTGTTGTATAATCAGATTTATAGCTTCAAGTGAAGTTTTAACATTGTTTTCATACTAAAAGTATCATTGTGAATAAACTTGTTATTGGAACACACACACAAAAATGTATCCAAAAATGCTAAGCACAAGATAATTCTTTTAGTTGGCATCACAATAAAAACTGTCAACCATGAGTTATCTCCTGACTTACAAACCAATGCGCTACATGTACCATGGTGAAAAGTGTGCTTTTGTAGAAAAATTGTAGTAATACAATTCTGAGTGAGAAGTTTCTATTCTCCCTTTTCAAATCTATATAAATTACACTATTTCATGTAATGTTACATGACTGTATGCATTTATGCCATTTTTAATAGTTTTGATGGAATAATGGCAAAAAGTATTTATTAACTGGATAGTTAATAAAAAAAAAAAAAAAAATTATATAAAAATAAAAAAGACATAAGTAATTTTTAGTTATGTACCTTTTACTCAAAAATGCCAAAATAATATAGACATATTATAGATTATTTTTTTAATCCTTTTTAGAATTTTTTTTCTTGCATCAGCTGGGGATCATAAATTAGTATGGGAAACTGGAGTCTTTTTTGCAGTGAAAAAAAAAAGCACATTCATTTGGAAATTCTTGCAAAAATCAGATAGTTAAACTTATTCATAAATGAATGAAATTATTTATCATTTTTGAAACCTTTTGTTTTTTTGGGTTTTTTTTTTAGAAAATCTTGGTAAAAAAATTTTTTTTTTTTTTTTTGAATATTTGTTACCCAACACTTATTTAATTCTATGAAATTTTGAGAAATTCGTTTTTTGTAGTGCTTAATACTGATATTAATTATAAGGACAAGTCCTTGGAGAATTTAAATCAATTTTTTTTTGTTAAACATGACCCCAGTTACAGAAAATTTGTTCGGAATTGTAAAATAAAAAATGCAATAAGACATTTAATAGAAAAGCTTTTAAATGTTTTCATGAATAAGATATACTATGGGAACAATTGTCTTAAGAAAAAATTTTTTTTTTCAATGAATAATGAATTTTTACAAAAATTGTTTTGTTTTTTTTGAAATTTAAATAATTTATAAAGTTTTAAATCTTTAAAATCCTATATTAATTTATAGTGGATAGCTGATATTAAGTAAAAACTATATTTATTAATAAATGGAAAAGCCTTTTACAATTCAGCAACTTCCAGGATTTTAAAAAGAACTTAATTTTTTTATACATGTATAAACATGCCTTTTTTTTGTCCATACACAAGAAAATAAGAACGGTAAGTATAGTAAATTTAATATTTATTATTAATTTTCAAAATTTCATCAATAAGACTATAAAGCCAAAATACCTAAAGTTCAATAAAATATTAGATTAGCTAGAATATTTTCTTAAATTAACTGGGCAGTTAAAAAATTATGTCAAAAAAGCATTGATGTTGTACAACTTATTTTTAGTTAAGTAGCCTTTAGTCAAAAAATGCCAAACATTATTAAGCTATTGATGTATCTTTTAACTCAACACCTCATAAAAAACCCACCTCCAATTAAACTAAAAGTAATATTTGTTTTAATTCAGATTAATTAAATTTTAAATCAGTTAATCTCCCTCAAATAAAGCCTCAGAAAAGTATATTCTGTTTTTAAAAGATTTTTTTAATAAAAAGAATTATGTTGGGCTGACGAATTTGTCAATGGCCGATTTTAGCGATTAAAAAAAAAAAAAAAAAAATAAAAAAAAAATCAATTTTGAATCGGTTTGAAATACAGCAAAGTATATTGCTAAAGGTAAAAGAAATATTAAATTTATTATTCTATTAACTTGGAATTAAAAACTAAAATAAGTCCCAAGAAAGATTTTTCATTAGTGTAACTTCCTCTTTTTGGGAGGTATCTAATCAAAACAAATTAATGATGAGAAATATAAACTGTATTTTAAGTGCGAGAAATTGACATTCACTCAAGTTACCAACCTGTGTAAAATGAACCCAAGGTGTTTCCCTACCAGGATT